TCAATTAAGCGGCATCGTTTCTTTGTGTGTCCAAGCTTTTGGCAGTTCATACAACGCATAGGGTTGGGAATATATTCCTCAACAGCGATTCTTTCCCATCCAAGTTTCAGTGTGTCAGGTCTATGATATAAATCAAAAGTTAGAATAGCAGCACCTGTAGCAATATCGATGTTTTTTTCCTTTCTTGTTATTTTTCGGATCTCAATGACCTTCTGATCCCTAAGACATTCACTTAGTTCTTGCTCAGAAATGTTTATTATTTTTCTGGAGTATATACGACCCTGGATTGTATTCAGTGTTTTGTGCAAGGTGATCTTAACGGGAATAGTATCAATAAAAGATGCTCTGAGAAATTTTTCTGCTATTTTGTTGTCAGCTACTTTAATTAACAGATCGCCACTTTTCATTTCAGTGACGTTCATTCGTTCGCGTGAGATGAAATTTAGTCCCCTCTCGACTTGAAATACGTTGTAGGATGATAGAGGTAAAACCTCCGTGTTTTCAGTAATCTGTCTGGTTGATGCCACCAGGTAGCGTGGGCGGTATTGATCATTTATATTCGGTTCCGGCAAGGGTACGAAATCCTCCGAGCGAGGTCTCTTTATCTTGGTACGTTTGTTCAATCCGGTTTCGGAAGCCAGCTCCCTAAACCGGTTGTTCGCTAGGGGATGAACCCCGTTCATTATACTCCCGAAACCAGTAATTTATATAAAAATTTGTCCAAAAAGCGAATGAAATAAATTTACCACACAATATACCAAGAATTGGCAAAAAAAAACTCGATAAATTAAAAACACTTATCGATAACACAAAATTTGTCCAACTGCACGCGTCGCGAGAGTAAATACGTGTTTACTCGGCAATTGCCTGACTAAGACTGATTTAATAATTATATTTTTCGGACTTAAAATCTCTTTTTTTGCAAAAAAATAAGTTTATTTTAAATAATTTTTTAATTTTCAATACCAAAATATACAACTTTGTTTTGTCAATTTTATTTTCGACACACAAAAATTAATTGTCAAAAAAATTAAAAAAATATTTTTTTAGTTTGTTAAAAATAAAAATATTTCGGATTGTTAAATGCGATAAAATTGTGTAAAAAATTAAAAAATAGTTATGTGTTTGTGAAAAAACGTCGTTCAAGTCCTATTATCCCGGTATTTTCGCGAAAAAGTTTTGAAGTATTGTGAGAGAATTGAGTTCTCAGAAGTGTGTTGAATTTACACAGAACTCGTCTGAGAAGGAAATGTTATTGTTGTAAAACAATGTCATAGTCCAACTTCTTATTATTCTTTGTTTTCAGGTTTTTACCAGAAATTGTAAAAGAGAACAAATTTAAGCAATTAAAATTATTTTCTCTTTGCCAGAACTTGCAGGTTTTAGCCAGAAAATTTTTTCCTGGCAAATAGAAAAAAAAAATTGTCAAATAAATTATTTGTTTAAAAAAATACATTGAAAACAAAAAATGTTTGATATTTTTGATTTATTTTCATAAATAAGTATGTGTGATTGTAGTCTTTCAATTTTATTTTAATTTTAATAGAAATTTATATGAATAAACTTCAATACAAATTTATTGAAAGAGAATTTTTTTTTCTGTTCCCGTACTTTTTATAAGTACGAAGAGAAAATTAATTAATTCTCTTTAGCCAGAAAAGTTCTGGAACAAAGCTTTTAAATATGCATTTTTGTAAATCATAGCTATAAAATTTCGATTACGATTAATAATCAATTAAATTATTTTTCAAAAATAATCTTAATGATTAATTAATTTTCTGGTAGAAAATTTGTGATTATTAATTGTTTACCATTAAAATTAATCTGAAAATAATCAGGAATTAGTTTAAATTAATGAAATTAATCAAAATTAATTAAGTTATTAATTTGATTATTTTCAAGGATTAATTTTAATTATTTTTGATTAATATCAATATATCTAGTATATGTATATACTATTGTTTTTTTACATTAAGTTTTTTTTTTTACATTAAATTACTGCAATTTTTCGAAATGTTTTTCAAAAAATGGTGGATTATAATTTTCCTATGGTGGGTTTATAAATAAATCTTTTAATGTGAAATGGTTTTTAAAATGAAATTGTAAAGTTTTAATTTTTTGTTTTTCATTTATTTATTTTTTGTTTTGTAAATTTTTTATTTTCATTTGTCAGAAATTTATGTAGCCCAATGAGCTAGTAAAATTTTATTCACCTCATATCTATCAAAAATTTACTTTTAGGAGCGTGTGCCAAATGATAGCAAAGTTCTATGGTGGATTGTAATTTTGCTATGGTGGGAACATTTTTACATTTTGCTGTGCCAAACGATATCTTTTTTGATTACATTACATTTTTATAATTGTCACTAATTTCACAAGAAAATCTGCATTTATTTTAATAAATGAAACACTTTTATTGATTTTTTATTATTAAAATAAATTTCTACAATCATAAATGTATTATAAACTAAAATTATAAAATATTTAATTTTTTGTATTTTCAAATTATTCTTTTCATTTGTCAAAAATTTATATAGCCCTATGAGCTAGTAAAATTTTATTCACCTCATATCTATCATATCTATCAAAAAATTGTTACCTCTTGGCACACACTCTAACAGTAAATTGCTGTCGTTTGGCACACACTCAAAGAAAACAAAACACAGTTTGTGTTAGAAAAGTTTAAAAATATGCAAAATATATGCAATTTAATGAAAAATATGCAATGTATGCATTTATAAAAAAATATGCAAAAATATGCAACAACAAATCTATGCAATTTTATAGCAAATTCGTTGATTCGAAAAGAAAAATAGTTAAAAGTTATTTTGAGTTACTGACTACAAACATTGCATTTGCATATAAATCATTGCCCTGATTATAACCCTTCACTCTCGTGAGATGGGTGTATACAAGTTTGTCATTCCGTTTGTAATTTCTATAATATAATTTTCCGACCCTATGAAGTGTATATATTCCGAGTCCTTATAGATAGTGGTGTCGATTAAGCTTTGTCTGTCCGTCTGTTTGTCTGTCTATCTGTATGTTTGTTAAAATTAAAATCAGCAAAATCAGTCCATAAATAACTGATCCAAGACAACCTCTAAACATTTCATCAAAAATTTAGAGCGTGCTCTATTTTCCTTAGAAATGAAATTTTTTGAAAAAAAATAAATTCAAGAAAATGAATAAAGAACATAAAAAGTAAGTATTTTTACATTTTTAATAAACTAATTTATAATTTTAAAAATTTTTACACATTAAAAAGACAGCTTTGATTACATGTCGTCTAATACCACCTTTACAAAAACAAAGAAAAGAAAGAATAATACGTTACGAATGAAGCAGTGTGTTGTGTATGTTATTGCATAGAAACATGAAATTAAAAAGAGACTTTTGGTACTTTTTCGTTCTTCAAAAGGTATTTCTTGAATATAGAACTCTTATTTATTTTTGTTTAAAAATAATGTATTACAAAGAAAAAATACGTCCGAAAAATTAAAATTTTCAGAATTCTTATAATTAAAAATATCATTACAATGTGGAAAAAATTTAATCCCCAAGTGGGACTCGAACTCGAGCCTAAAGGAATATTCAATTTATAATATTAATGACCAAAGTTCGAAGAAATCAATAATCTTAATATGTATATGTATATTAACATGTACTTTAAAAACATTTCAGTTTTTGGTCACGTATGATATCGTCCTATTTTAATTCATATTTTAGAAAACAAAGTTCCGAATAGGAGTATAGTACTCTTTAATTGAACAATACAGAACAGAATGACAAAATTATTCTTCAAGTACATAGTCCTATTTTTACAAAATCTATAACACTCTGAAGGCGTATAAACGTGACATACAATCGTATGGAATTGCCCATATGTACAAACTCGTACATATTTATTTTACTTTAATTTAACCTTAAAATGTCTTTGAGATAAATTATTACTATATTTAATTGCAATTTTTGGTAAATAAAATAATTTAATTTTATTCATAAAAAATTTTTACTAAGTTTTTTTTTCTAACAAGTAATGGAATGTGTTTTAGTTTTGTCCGACACTGTATATCTTTCACGGATTGTAGATCGGTTCGCATAAAGCGACGGAGAAACTAACAGGCTCAATTTATTTGACCGCGTGAAATACATATGGAGCAATGTTCTAAAGGATCAATTATTGTGCCTGACGGTTTCAATGACTCCCAGATGTGGTCCTATTGTAAAAATATGTATATGCTATAAATTATATTCTTAAAAATGAATTTCAGTTCTTCTGTGGACAAAAAGTGAGATATCAAACTTCTGCAGGGAATTCAGCGGTTTGGGTATAAGTGGTGCTCCAAGGCTCTCGAAACGTCTGGACGATATCAGGTTAAAAGTAAAATTAAAAACCGTATTGGATGTAAGGTTAGGATTACATCATATGGGTACCATTAGATGATGGTACGTATTCTGAGTGGACTCACAGGATTACCGAGACAGCTATACAAAATTGGAATGTAGAGCATGTAGGGAGGACAGTGAAACACTGGAGCGCTATCTTTGCCATTGTCAAGTTTTCGTCAAAATTATATCCAAATATATTAAGAGTAATATCACGAACAACGATTGGAAATTCTTAGGAATTATGTCCAAGAAACTGAGTTCTGAACATCAGTAAATAATATATAATTTTAAAGTTAAAACTTGAATTTCACTTAATCGGTTTAAGTTAAAGTTCTCCTGTTCTTTCATAATTATAATTATTTCACCAAACTGGATACGGCATACCCGAATTTACCACTCTAACTATGTATATTAATTCTATGAAGTGACGGAGTTCCAAGATAAAAATGTCCAAAAAAAGAGCGTTTGTTTTCTCAATTAGAGTATAAGGTCAAATTCGATATACATATGTTTATTAAATTTATTTCTTACAGTTTATAATTTGTTATATTTCAACGTAAATTTTATATTTATTACGACAAAGATTTTTCCTTAAAATATACAAGTGATTTATTATTTTTCAACGTAAATTTTATATTTATTAAGACAAAGATTTTTCCTTAAAATATGCAAGTAAATTAATAAATTTGTGATTTCTAATTTAATGCATAAATAGCAACTTATGCATTTTGACTAGCTACCGCAGCTACCAGAGCTGCCCCTCTTCCCGAACCATCCTCAGAAAGCATTAAATCAAATTGTATTTTTGGATCGATTAATTTCTTAATGGCAGATCTCATGTAGGCATCAAATTTTGGATGGAATCTATACACAGAACCATCAATACCTACAACCACTTTGGGTTCCTTGATTCTATTTATTAAGCCACTTATGCCCACTGCTACTAAATTGGCTGCACGTTGTGATACACATTCGCATATATAACGCAATTTTTGACAATCCTCTACAGAGGGTCTTTCAATGCCAAACAGTTGCTTAATTATATGACGAGTCTTCTTACATTCTGGAAACGTGTCAGCTTCAATGTCCGATATCATACTGGTTTCAAAACATTCAGTTTCATTGGTTAATTTCTTTATAAATTCCAGTTTATTTTGTGACAATACAAATATTAAATTCTGTCCAATGGCATCAATTAATATTAAACGTACTAGATCGCCCAAATACATGCCTGAAATGAGAAAAACATAAATATAAATTGATCTGTAAACTAATTTTGTTATATTAATGTTTAAGTAAAGTATGAAGTACATTTTACATTACATTTACATTTAGTTGTTGATAGTCCATAATTCACCAAAAAGATTTACACCCTGAACCTACGGAGGCATATGTTGGCATGTTCCGTGAATATATTACTTATCTACTCATACAATCTATTATTCACCAAAGCTTTGATGAACAAGAATTGTATTTTCCTCTATCTGAATGTTGATAAACATTTTACCGATGTGGGCAAAAGTATAATTTTAGATTATTTCAGGAAAAATATATTTAAAATTGCATCAAATTATTGTATGACTGTTCGTTTTGGCATCGAATTTTGCCAATTTTACCAACCCTGCGATATACTCTGTTAAATAAATATCTTTTACTGTTCTTAAGGAAAACATATGTATGTAGACTATGACAACTAACGAGTTATAATCTTTCTCTCTTTAAAGGTATTTAGAAACATTTGAAAAATTTAAGTTTTCACAGACTTTCATACTTAGACAAAAATAATAAACTCTTACCGGAAATCATTTTTTCATAGAGCTGAGTACCAGCATTTAGAGATTTTTTATCAATTATTTTATCGTAATCTGTACGAATGAAATCCAAAAGACCACTATCGCCAAAAGCACCCCACTCGGTGTTTATTAAAACATTATTATTTGTTTCTTTATACTCTGGTTCTAACAGATCAACAGCCTCAACGCGTTCCACATAGCAGGCATTGCAACCAGTTCCAACTATGACACCAATACGACATTCAGGATTACGATGAGCACAAGACATTAGTGTGCCGGTAGTATCATTAAGAATTGCCATTACATGAATCTCACAGTCTCCTCTGCGAGCAATAGCTTCCTTTAGTAAGCGACCAACATCTTCTTGCTCTACGCCCGAACATTTGAATCCTTTAGTCCAACGCACCAAAAGCGCTTTTGTTAGACCCAGTTGAACACACGGAAAAGAGAATGTGAAACCTAATGGTAAATGTTCATTGCCCACTTTATGCTCTTTCACAAATGTGGATAAACACTGTGCAATATGATCGAATAGTTGTTCTCCTGGACCCAACATTATTTCCTTGGGAATGGCATAAATCATTGATTCAACAACAGCCTCATGATGTCCTTTTAAAGTGACAAGCAAAACGCGAAAATTTGTGCCACCCAAATCTAATGCTAAATATTTACCCACTTCATCACCTGTGGGCAAATTCTGAACATATGTCACATAACACTTTGTATCCGCTTGATTGTGTTCGGCCTGTGACAAGCCCTTGCGTATTTCGTTGCAGAAACGTTTAAATACTTCCTGTAATTGAGAATCACTAAGTACAAATGGTTTAAGGAACTCCTTTAAACGTTCGTCGTGCATTGTGGTTGATATGTTGTTATATGCAGTTTTATGTTTAATTTGAAATTTGACTCTCGAAACGCCCACCCCCTTTTTCTTTCTTTATTATTAATTTAATTTGCAATGGATTATGAGAAATACTTGTTTTAGATTTTTGCTAATATTTCACTTAATTGATTTTTATTAGTATTTTTATTTTTTTCCGTTGGGACGCTTCGTTACGAAAGATCGCTGCCAGAGCACTGTTACTGGTGGCAGTGAAAACTAAATTGGTAAGAGTAGAAATTATTTTCGCAAACTTATTCGCTGTCATTTGGAAATATGCCTTGACAAAGTAGATTTTGATAAGAGTTTATTTTCTAATTGTATTGTATTTTCTTACACTTTTTGTGTTTATATTTTATAACTTTGCGTTGTTTTTATGAGCGTTATTAGTGTTATTTTATTTTAAAAGCAAGCTATTTTTTTCATCGTAAATACTTACTCTCTTTCTCCCATTAAAGGTGATAGAAAACATTTTTGATAAGACAATAGAATCTGGCTATAACACACATCCGTTAGATTTGAAAAACCATCGATCGTTATAATGGCAAATATTTCTTGTCATTAAAGAAAAAATAAATAAATATCGAGCGATAAAAAGAGACGTTAATTTAAATTTCTATTATACATAAAGCTTATCGTTGATACCTTTGTCGCTTATCTAATTTTCGTACCTTTCTTTGTAAAAACGTTAGTGATTTCGTTTTGTAACACTTAAAAGTAATAATTTATTTTATGATCTTATCTATGGAACATTTTTTTTATTAAACATATTTAAATAAAAAAAAAATTGTGTAAGGATTAAGAGCGGTTTTACATTGCGTAATTTTTTATTAATGCAAAGTATTATTTTTATTGGAAAAGTATTGAAATAAGTTGAGATTTTTTTAAATTTTAATGTACTGTTATTTTACAATATACACAATTTTCTTGATATGCAATTTTCATGTATGTATTATATTATAAATGTTCAATAAATTTTGACAAGCAATTGGATTTTGTATTAAAGATAATGGAACTCTGATAATACAAAGTTTTGTTGTGTAAAAGGGGTTTAAATATACATTAATCATAAATAATTCACTTTATTCAATTTCATATAAAAATAGATTAAAATTAAGTGAATCTTTTGATTGTAGGCTAGATTAGGTTCTCAGAAAGCAAAAAATATCCTGTAATATTACGTTGTTCCCGGGAAATATGTATTAATAGTTTATTGTCATTTTATTGGCATTCGATTGTTTACCGATTTTTCGAACATAACATTGCGTTGACATTAGGTGTCTTTATGTGTGCTAAATTTCAACTTTTTTTATTATCCATGTATCTAAGGACAACGGTTACAAGAATAGCTATCAGAAAAGTATTAAAATAAATCGGCGACTTTACTGGCATCTCTTACGAATTGTAAGACACTTGTTCTAAATGAACTACATGCGAAATCCCAAGTTAGGTGATTCAGTGAATCCACATGTCAGAACTCGAGATCTACTTTGCATCCTTGCTCTCAAGTCAAGTTTGCTCATAAGGAGTGCAGATAAGAATGCTATTATTTAGAAGATGAGATTTACAATGTCACTGTCCTACATTCACTGAAAACAGAGAACATCAGTTTGGTGCTCCCTTTTTGTCAGGTGTGGATGAGTTTTTTTGGGACAGGTCTTAAGATCATCCTCAGCATTATATTTAAATTAAACCGGGTGATTTAGTTCTAATTATAATCCTGTGACCACTATGGTAACACAACAGGATCAAATTAAATGGACTCAACCTAACCAAATATGAAAATTTTAATAACATCTATTAGCTTATATACATATGCATCCTCTATAATATGCAATATATGTATAAGTAAAAAACTTTTAACCTCAATGGTGACTTTTAAGCTCATATTTAGGTACTGCTTATGATGGCGCACTCGATATTTTTTTAACAAATTTGTCCCATTATTAATGTCTTGTGCAGGCCTTTATTAGGTACTCAGGACAAAGATCTATTACAAGTTGTTTGTTCAGATATTTTAGTGCATTAGTTAGTTAGTTAGTTAGTTTGAAAGGAGGATGTATATACATCAAATCCGAAGAAATACACCTAGGCCTCTATCGGACCTGTTGTGCGCTCCTTAACCAGTGCCTCAGGTGGGAATCGAACCCACCACCTCCGGTCTACCAGTCTAGAACACTAACCACAAACCTACCGGAGGCCACCATTTTAGTGCATTGCTTTCTAGATTTTATTTTTATGAAATTCCCGTGTTGGGAATGAGTTAATACTGTAAACTGATTTTCGGAGCTATTGTTAATTATGAATAATCGTTTTGAAGCTATTGTATTAACGAAATTTATTAACGTGGCTTGTAATGTACGATTAAAATTATTGTTGTATGTATTATAAAATTGTGCAAATGACAAACGATGCTAGCAAATCACCTCATAAAAAACATTTTACATCAGTAAGCCTAACTCAATAGCAGGAAAACAATTCCATACAATTGTATAGGAATACGCATGCAAAAAAAGTAGTTTTAGGAATCAATTCCCGTATCTATTATAAAATTAATAAAGTTCTATCAGATTAGTGTTGAAATAATATAATCTGATGATAACCTATTTGACCTAACAATCACTTAATTAACGTTTGTACATATGTATGTACATATTTCTAATAAATTATCAATCGATTAAACGTCAGAACCGAAAAATTGAAAATAATTCTCAGAGTACATAATCTATTTATTGTATTTAAAAGTCGTAAATGTTTCCCACTTTTTTTATAAAATTTAGTAAAAACATTTTTCTTTATCACTATTTGCAAATAACTGTTGTGGGAACATTTTAATTAAGAATTTTGTTTTGTTTTTTTTTCGTCAACTATAGATAATCCAGGCGATAACTAGTGATTTGATTAATGAAGGTTTATCAAATGAAAGTTCAAAAAAAAAAAAAAAAAACGTTAGCAAATATTTTAATACTATAGTTAGTTTGCAGACTTTAGAATTAAAATGTATTTATTAATCATTACTATTTATTTGCAAAACATACGTATATAAATATGTACATACATATGTATGTGGGTAGTTAAGAATTTCAAAAACTGAATTTTTTCGTTATTTTGGCATCAAGGTGAACAATGGTTGTATGTCACCTAAAACTAAATAATGCAAGTAGAAATATAATGTTCAATATAAACATCTTCCAAAATTAAACTATTGCATAGTAACAACAATTATGAATCTAAATTTATGGTCCTTTCTCATAATTTTCAAAATTTTAACAGTACCCAAGAGGTAAAAAAATAATAATTTAATATTAATATTTTAATATTTCGTTTAAACGTTTGTTAATCATTTCTTTATGTAAGAATTGTAAATGCGTTTTAAAATTCATTAAAATTACAAAATATATTCTTTCGAAACGGTAATCGTTTAATGTTCTTTAACAAATTGTTAATGGTCAGTACTCATACCTGTAATAAAAGATACCACAATATATTGGGTAGAAAACTAATTCAAAGAAAACAATACAAACCTTTAAAAAAACTTATCTTTATTGCAAAAATATCATTCCATTAATTTAACCTTCAAATAAATGGTATAGAACATGCATAGGGTTCCTTGCTTGGTAAGCGAGGAAAAAAATCGTTTTGATTTTCGATTCACACCAAATTGGATTAGGAATCCTTAAACAAGAATTTTTGAACGATAATCGTAATAACAAAGAAAACATATGACCTATTTTCCGCATTTGGATCCGCCCTGGATTGGTTTAAATTTAAAAACACTTGCTTTTTAAGTGAATTTGTATTTAAATCAGACCGACCAGTTTTAAATTATAGGTCTTTTTCGAAATTTCCCACAGTGTTAATGTCAATGTCTATGGGTCATTTCGTGTCATGTGACCCAAATTTAAAAATCGATGTCTTCCGATTTTGATTAAATTTGCACCAAGGTTAGTACTATTGGATAGAAACAATGAAATAGCTATCTGAACTCCTTTGGACAATTTTTGCTAGGACTAATATGTGAAAAGTTACACACATTTGTATATAACCCAGTATGACTTAAATGGCCAACTTTGACCCCCTCTAAGTCCGGCAGTTCTGGATAGCGCTGTAAATTTGTATCTGGCCTACTATCCAATGGTGCAAATTTCGTCAAAATCGTTTTTTTTAGTTGGATCACTTGATATGAAATTTCCGGTATGTATATTTCATAAAAAATCGTTCTCAAACTACTTAAAACGAAGTGTCCAGGTATGTGTATTATAGGTACAAAGAAATGCCAGATTAGAATTATTCATATCAAATTTTTACGTCTTGATTTATTTTTTATATTTTAAGTCCTGCAGTACTTAATTCTCGCATTTTTACAAATTCTCTTATTCCTTATTTAATTTATAAATTCCTCAAATAGTAGTTTTTATTTCAAATTAAAATTGTTCCTATCTTGTATTTAAACATTTTCAGTATTTTTTTGTGAATGTTGTTCGTGGACCCTGTAACGTAAAAAAAATTTCTGATTATCGGGAATTAAATTGGTTTGAGCATTTGAAAACCCTATACATGTAATTTGACAACTAAAGAATACTGTTATTAAATTGTAGAAAAAAACAACAATAAATATCTTTAGATGCATTAGGCGAATAAATCTTTTTAAGACCGCACTTAATCTCTTTATACAACAGTATTATTACAATTTTTTATAGTTTATTTTCATTTCAGTTGTTGTAGTAAAAATTTTTGTTATTTTCGCTGATTAAAATAAAAGATAGAAAGAAATATTTTTTTTTTTTTAAATTCTTATCAGTTGGCTTTCTGAGCGATTTTCACACATTATGTACATAGTTTACAAAAATTTATGAAAATAAAAAGACATTTGTGCTGATCATAAAATTATTTTTAATTTAATTGTTTAACTAATTATTTTATAATTTATACTCACCTCTTTAACACAAAATGTACAGTAGAAACTTTATAATAGAGAACAAAATTAAAAAAATTAAATAATATGAGCAGGGTTAAATTTATGTTAAATTGTCAATTCTAGAGATATATTAACAATTTTATTTCAACTGAAATTGAAACTATTTATTTCGATATCACATTGTGAAAAATTTTTCAATGAAGTCTTGTAGGCCATACTTCGGAGCTGCAGAAAATGTATTTTGTTTACTTTAACATTAAATTTCACTTTAATAACAAGCCACTAAAGTTTAATTTTTTCATAAAAAATTTTAAAGATAATTCCAAATACATACAATTGTTTTCCATTTTTGTCAACTTAAATTTTCCTTATAATTTAAAGAATACTCCTGTCCTAGGTTTGATTCAAAATTGAGTCGAATTGAATTGATTAATTTAATAATAAAATTATACAGTTCAACTAAAATTACCTTTAATTATTTTTTCCAGATTCTGCTAGAGATGCATTCAGTTTTGTCGACGAAATGCGACAGGCTGCTCAACAGGCGCAGAATATCAGCAATTTTATTTATGAACCAACATCTGGCCTATATTACGATCAAAAATCTGGTTACTATTATAATGCGGTATTTAAAGAAATTGGAAAAATATAAAATTATAATTTTCATTGAATTAAGAAATATTAATTATTGTTTTGTTATTTAGGAGTATGGTCTTTATTACGATGGCAATACTGGTTGTTATTACAGTTATAATCAGGAAAAGAATTGTTATGAATTCCATTCACAAGTTCAAGTACAACCTACAGCTTCAGCGAAAAAGGTAAGATTCCAATTAGCATAAAGCGAATTATATTTAGATTCTTATAAGATTATAAAAAAATATAAAAAGATCTAAAAATAATTCAGTCGCCTTTTGTAAGCATTATTCTCATATTTGTTTATAAAAATTCATAATTAATCAAATTTTTCACATATTTTTTATTAACACAGTTTTGTTTTTGCAATGACGCAAATTTTGATTTCTTTTTTACTACTTATGTATTGTTATCCCCCAAATGTAATTTATTTGAATTGTCTTGTTACTCGTTAATTTGACTTTGTTTCAGGATTGCAACGTTGATGACAACATGTTTGAGAATTACGTAAATAATTCACTTTTAAATCGTTTTTCAAAACTTTATATAGACCGAATGCGTAAAAATGCATTAGGTAAGAGTTAATGACCAGAATGTTCGATGAAAACGCGGATTTCTTTTCTACTGTTGCAGGGGGACGATCATATTGATGAGGATGATGTTGACGAAGTTGTTTTCGATGAATTTGGTGTTGTGACTGATCGCGAAAAACTAAAGAGGCTGCGCGAAGAAAAAGAGCAACAGAAGCAGGAAAAGGATCGTAAATATAAAAAGAAATCATCGAAGAGCAAGGATAAAGACAGGGAACGTAAGCACAAGAAATCCTCACATAAAAAACGTAAACGTTCCAAAAAACATACAAACACATCTAGTGGCGATGATTCCGGTAGTGAAGATACCGATCGAGAGAAACGTAAGTCTAGAGTGGATTTTGAAGATGGTGAACTTTCCACTTCTAGTTCGAGTAGCAGCAGTGATAGTAAAAGTGATTCCGAAGATGAAAAACGTAAAGTGCCCATATTTAAAAGCAGTGGACGATTCCAAGGTAACTTTATTTTACTGATAAAGAAAAGAAATTCGCGTTAAAGAATATGTTGGTAAAATATTCAAACTTTGATAATTGTTTGTTGCTATGCTTTCAGATATTGCCAAAAAGTATCCCCCTTCCCTTCGAATCGTTGTACAAGAAACAAATTTGGATGACCTAAAAGTCGGCAATCTTAGTTTGATTACTTATAAGGGTGGCAGTCTAGGACGTGAGGGAAATCACGATGTGATAATACCAGATGTCAATGTTTCAAAGGTACTGAATAATCTGATAAATATTTAACATCAACGTTTCATTATAACTAATTTACATCCTAATGTTCATTTAGTTTCATTTAAAATTTACCTATGATACAAAACAATCAACTTATAAATGTGTCGATTTGGGTTCGCGGAATGGTACCATTCTGAATGGTACTCGTATGTCGGCCTCTAAAACAGAAAGCGAATCATATGACTTGGTCCACGGCAGTGTCATACAAATTGCTCAAACTAAACTTCTATGTCACATACACGAAGGCAATAGTACTTGTGGTTTATGTGAACCGGGTCTTTTAATAGAACCGCAGCAACGAGATGTTTCATCTGGATCAACTGTGGTACTTTCTCACAAAGAACAGTTGAAGAAAATCCAAAAGAAATATGGATTGGAAAATGAAAGTGAGTTTAGATTTATAATTCAATTATATATTTTACAAAAATTTATTTCTCGATTTTATTTTACAGAGTTTGTTGATTCAAAACAAAACTCTACGGGTGGTAATGCAGGAGCTGGTAGTAGTGCTGGCTGTAGTACTAAAAATAGCAAAAACAGCTACCAAGATCGTGCTGCTTCTAGACGTTTAAAAGTAGGCAGTAGTACAGATAAAGAGAAAACACAAACTGCTTCTGTTGATACGTAAGTTTATTGTACTAACAATCTAAATAATTTATCTTTAAGCAATTTGCTTACGTGCGATTTTTTTATTATTCAGTGCTATTTCAAGTGATAACAAAGGTTTTAGAATGCTTTCTAAATTGGGTTGGAATAAAGGTGAAGCTTTGGGTAAAACCCAGGAGAGTGGAGGTCTTTTAGAACCGGTATTATTTTAAATTGTCTACAATTTTACGTTTTTTAATGCTATTTTTTCTCTTAGATTAATGTTGAGTCAAATTCTGGTCATAAGGGTCTGGGATGCGATGACCCTACAGCCGGTCTTACGTTAACTGTGGCAGACAAAAAGAAATTAGAAAATATGAAAAAGACCAAGGAGCGCTATGAAAAGGCGGATATTTTTAGTAATATTTATGACAGCAGTTAAATAGCAAGCATTTTATTTAAATATAAATAAACTGTTTTATTTATACATACGTTACAAAATTGATTTTAAATGTAGTTTAAAGAAAAAAAATTAATTTTGTTCTCAATAAATACTATAAATACGCTATATGTAGAAAGAAACAGCCAAGGTATTTAAATGATAATTGGTCGAAACTGGCTTAAGTTTATCCTACCAATCATACTAACTGCGAAATGAAACAATTGTGTATTTGACATTCAATTTTAAATTTATTTTCAATAAAATACAATAAAACTACATGCTGTTAACAAATGATTTTTATATATAATATTTTATATATATCGATATTAAATTTTTTACTATTAAATATTTCTTTAATTTATTTATGTTTGTAAAGTATAGATATTCAAGATATGCTATCAGTCATATTAGAAAATGTATTACAATGTGGGGTAAAACTGAAATAATATTCTAAATTTTAAGACAAATTCATAGACATCCAAATAAATTATTTAAAATATTATATTTTTCGAATTCTTGTAAGCCGATTTCATTATCAATTTGTTTTAGTTCTATCATTTAATTTATAAGTAAAGAGCTGATTAAATATTTGTTAATTATACTTACTTGTCTCAGTTAAACCCCATATTGTTTTTAATCGTATTGTTTAATATTTTGTTACATCAATTGCTAATGGACATTTTTAAATTATTTTTTGTTAGTTTAATTTTTTTAATTATGTTATAATTACTAATATATTTTTAATACATATAAGACTCATTAAAATTCTTTAAAAGTGGATAGTAAATAATTAGAATGCAGAGCACCAGAACGCTTAAATTAGATTATATCACCACTTGATAACCAGCAGTATACTAATAACAAAAACATATCAGTTTTGCAACATAAATCTGTGGTCGCAAATACTAATCACAAACAAATGTATTTCTAATATCGTTCATTTGCTCGAAGCGTGTCGTAACTTAAAATTCAACTTTTTTCAAACTAAATGTTCTAAAGAAACTATTAACTATGATGGATTACTTTTAAGAGCCTGTTTTAAATGACAATTAATAAAAAAATAATTTAAAAAAACTTTATTATAAGGAAATAAGTCTTTAAAAATAAAAATGATACTAGAAAAAGTAACAAAAAAACATTAACATTTATTTAAGCCTCTTTAGATATGTATGTATGTTGGGAGGGTCTAATAAAGTTTTTAACTTCAATCAATTTCTCATTATGAAGTTATGTTGCCTTATAACTTTAATTTAAAAACTGTAGAATATCATTAATTTATGTTAAGGGTAAGAGCTCGCACAATGGGCTGTGTTCCAGCAGAAGTGTGGAACTATATGTTGTGAAGACAAATTTTGATTTTATCATCAAAAAGAATTACTTCTCTAGCTCTCCCTGAAATCGACAAACTTAAAACCGGTATCAATGACAAAATTTTGAATTTTTTAGATTTCTTACTGATTCGAGCAAAAAACTTTTTCGACCCACCTTAATTTACATATGTTATTTTTATGGTCACTTTTTTATATCTAATGAAAAAATGTAAATGTAAAAAATGCAAAAAATTTATGTATTTATTTTTTGATCTTGACCGCTAGCTGTTTGGCTCCAAAAATATGTAAGTAGAAGATGAGTATTCGTACATTCGTCTTTTAAAAGCCTTAATAACGAGTACTTTTTGTTTGCTCATTAAATTAAAAAAGACAATAAGTCGTTTCCGTATTAATTTCAATGTATTTTGTTGTTTTTCTGATTACTTTTGACGAATACGGGAACAGATATATTATTGACAATTTATTTTTTCAAATGTACAATTTTACATCCTCTAATCAAAAAGGCAATAAAAAAGTTGAAATCTGTTCCATTTTTTTCGGAATTTTGATCATAGATCCGAAACTTATTGACCGATTTTACTGATGCAACTGGGGCCTCAATAGAGATATTGCAAACTTTATTTCCGATGTTTCTGAAAAATTTCATTGGACAAAAAATATATTGGAATGTTTTAAGAAGTGTAAATTTTAATTGACCATTTAAGTACTTTGAGTTACAATTGATCATGAATAATAATTTTAGAGAAGTTTTTATTAAAATATACTGACAAACTACCAACTAACATATGGAGGAGGCACCCAAGAAGCCCATTTCTTCATTTTAGCCAAATCGATTAAAAAATATCGAAAATATAAACAAAATTTCGCATAAAATCATGATTTTTCTAGAGTTTTGAATATAAATCGGATTCTACTTTGTTTAATACATATACATAACCAATATGTACTATATATCAAAATTAAGTTGCTCGGGAGACGTCTTATTTGATATATGTATATATGTATGTAAAATATGTACATTCATATAGGAAAAGAATTTTATCTTCGAGATTTGCCGGAAATATGGTCAATAATTTGGGTTTTTGGAGATTGTATTCATGTCTCATTTATGCACAGAATTTGAATTTTTTTAAAGTTAAAAAAAATTTAAATTTAAATTAGTTTCTAAAAATTAAAAAAAAAATAGGAAAACATTTAAACAACAATTTCCAAAAAGTTTTAAAATTAATTAATACCCTATAAAAAACACTATTTTGATTTAATACTTTCTACTGATTTACATATTTAGATGGAACAAATCTCTTTTATTATCCTCTTTGGTTGCAACGTGGATTTTGATAATTGTAGTTTTCGTAGAATTCCAAGAAATAAGCGTACAATTAAACAAAATATTGCGAACCTTGCTCCTCGTAACAGGTTTAAATTTATACGTACTTACCCGGCAAAAACTCGGTAATGACTTGCACTTACACATCTACATACTTTTCAATAACTACTACATAAAGTCTGTATAATCAAATATACATATATTTTGAGTTTTGCCGTTTTATTTGCACATATTATTTGATCGCCCTGTATTTTACCAGCACTAGGCAGTGGTGTTGTAAGCAAGACAAAGAATAACGAACAAGAAGCCCAATTTTTTTTGTGCGCAAAACAGAAAACTCCCAATTTGTAAGTACTTATTTAATAACTTATTTGTAAGCGAGAGTGGTAAGCACTTGCTTCCAATGCCATCACCGCGTTAAAATAATGAGTTAAAATGCTAATGAGTAGTTTTTTGCCTTTTAACGCATTCTTTTTCAATGTAAGTTTTTGCTGGGTACAAGTTCTTTAAAAAAAATAAACAGATTTTTAATATAAAACAACTCCTTCGAATGCATGTTTTATGTTTAATGACAATCTCCAGAATACTTAACATCAATATAAAAGCCAGTGGAACAAGAATCTTTACGCATTTCACACCAAGAATTGTAAGTATGATTATTAACACCACAAATTTTTCCTTCTTCATAGTGGGGGGACTGTAAGCAAATAAAAAAGCAAAATAATAAAATTAAAGGAAAAGAACACATTATCTACATATCATTCTTTATATCTTGATTATCAATTATTATGGGTAACTTACCGATGGACGTCTTTTGCGTGAACATTTGTAACGACATGAGGTGCATCTGGGTTTGTGTGTTAACAAGTCAATTAGACAAACTTGTTTAGGTCCACAATTAATGTCATCGCAAGTTACTTGATCTTCTGAAAATATTAAAAAGCAAATAATCGTGTATTTTAATTTATATTCTTGTTTTAGGGAGATTTTTTAATTATTATAGAATTTATTTTTAAGAAAATCATGTGATAAAAGTACATGTCGCAATTTTGGTTCTTTGGCACATATTTTAGACCAAGGTCAAAGCCTATTGATGTTAATGTCGGTCCTAATTTTACATATTCCCCATTATAAGGTACCCTGGGAATTTAGTTTAAACCTTTATAATTGCTTTGATTATGCAGTTATACTTTGAAAATCGGAGTATATTAAACCATATTCCACAACAGGTCCATTTCCGTTGTACTCCAAAGCAAAAAATAAAGATTTAAATTTCATTACAATGTGAAAAACATCCCTAAACATGATCTGGTACTATTCGTAGCTTAATACATTTTTACAGGTTTTTTGTGATTGTATTAATTTGAATTAAAGTGTTTTTATACGTTTATAGTCAGTTTTTATACGTTTGAAAGCAGTTGCATAATTTAGCCGTAAAATTAACACAGATCCTTTTTACTGATAATTATAGACATAAAAAAATAACGATTAAATTTTATGTGTCTGCAATATTTCGAAACCAGTTTTTATAAAAGTTGTTCAGTATCATAATTATTGTCGTGAACATCCTCAATGACAAGGACATGGTCTAACACATCGTTAAAATATTTGTAAGACGATTTTTTAAAATATTTATATTTGATTGCATTTTACGTTTTTCTCCAAGAAAAGACTTTGCAGTGTTAATTAATTAATTAGCTTGTTGTTATTATAGCACTGATGATATAAAATTACTATATACACATGAGAGAATCCATTTAATTTAAAATAATTTTACTAAAAGTATGATTTTTTAATTTTCATACATACATATTTGTCCGTGAATTTTACACTAAAGTGTTGTCATTGGAGGCAAGTACCTACCACAATTGCTTACAAGTTATTAGAAAAATTTGTCAATGTAAGTCGTATGAAAATAAGGAATACAGCTTTATCTTCACGCAGAAGTTGACTAATGAGTTGGAAGGTATTTATATAACATATTATTAATAAGGCGTCATTAAAGCACTTCTATGTAATCAAAACGATATGTAGTAGTCATTGAAAAGTATATTAATAGGGGTTACAATTGCAAATCATTAACAACTGTTTGCTGGGAAATTATTAAAAAAAAAAATCATGTAAAAATTCTAAAATAAAACTTTGAAATTGCCGTCTAAAGGGGTTTGTAAGTTCATACGAATATATTTGATGTAAGGACATAGTTTTATTAGAGTATTTCCCAAATTGTGTTAAATTTTTTGAAATATTTTTTATTCCATGTCACAATACAAAAAGGAACATATACAGGCCACCTCTATAAATATACCTGAAAGTAGAGTTACAATATCTTCAATATATAGTCCTCCTAAAATGTTTATCGAGAGCAGTTTCTCGAATACTTTAAAACTCTTTGCCCAAGATTTATAGCAGCTGAATATTATAATACAAAACATACTTTTTTAGTGCTCTCGCCTCATTACTCTCAAAAGTAGGTAATTGTTAGAAGCAATAATGCATAACAGACTAGATGCCATATCTAGTGGTCAACCTACTTATTGGCCTATAGACCTCTTTAAGATTCCCGATCTAATTGTCTTTGCTGTAATCAAAAATTTAAAACGACAATTTATTTCAGTGATCCCTTCTCTTCAGACCACTCGCCTACAGTTTTAACGTTATTAGAAATCCCAAATAAATTGGAAAACTATTGTTATTTTTACCCTAACAAGAAGACGAACTGGCTAAAGTATAAAATGAATGTTAGCTCACACCTGCCACATAACATTTCATTGAAAAATTACCATGAAATCCGCTGTCAATATACATATTTACAAGATGCTGTCAAAGTGTCTACACCCCCATTCACCTTTGGAAACTACAAAAATTCTAATTGTCCAAGGGACATTGAGTCTGTTTTTAAAGAAAAGATAACACTCAGACGTCAATGGCAACAATCAAATGTTAAACTTAATCAGTGCCAAAGAAGACTTCATAGCGCCTTAAAAATAATAAAGAATCTAACCTTAGAAATTATCTCAAAAACTCAGACCCTAATAGGAAAACAGTATATAGTCTCTGGAAAGCTGTAAAAAATTATGCAATGCCCATTGCATATGAGCAACCCATACGCCTCCAGAATGGTGAATGGGCAAGAAATACGTCAGAAAAAATTGAAGCAATCACTTGGATAATGTGTTTACTCAAAATGATACAGATTCTTCTATTAGTGCTAACATTGTAAATAATGTGGTATCGCCCAATAAAATTCCGGTTCTCAACCGTGAAGACGGTAATCAAAGGTATAAAGGCAGGAAAATCACCTGGTATAGATAAAATTACTACCACGATGATAAGTAACCTGTCCAATTCAGCACTGAGAATTATTTTGTTCATTTTTAACACGATGCTACTTTCCTCATGGAAAGTATCCCAAATAGTTATGATACCAGGGAAAGATGTCACTCTAGTGACATCATACCGTCCCATTAGCCAGCTGTCTATATTCTCAAAACTTTACGCAAAGTTATTACTTGAAAGCCTTATAGTACACTTTAACCATAATTGCATTATTCCTGACCATCAGTTTGGTTTCAGAACAAAGCTATCGAACAGGTACATCTAATAACTACTCTTATTCGGGAGGCCTTTGAGAGCAAGCAATATTGCTCAGCATTATTCATAGATATTTCTTAAGCTTTCGATAAAAGTTGACACGATGGACTAATACACAAAATTATCACTTTACTACCTGACAATGTCCACAAACTGCTTCAGAATTACATATGTATATGAAAGATTTTTTCAAATCAGATCAAAAGATGTGATTTCTTCACTCGAAAAATATCTGCTGGAATACCCCAGGGGAATATTCTAGGTCCGTTCCTATATATTTTATATACTGCATATATGCCAACAAGCGCACTGAATCGCACATCTACATTTGCGGATGATAACGCTTTTGTAAGCATACATGAAAACCTTCCAAGAGCTTCTGAACTGCTCCAGTCTCACATCGGCGAATTGGACAAATGGAAAACAGGCCGTTAAAGTAATTTTCTAAAGGGGACCTTATATAGGGGGTAGGGTCAATTATGGGTCGATCCTAATATAATTTGGTAGACAGAATTTGGTTCGTATTAAATTTATTTGTGTCGAATTTCATCGCTACACTCGTATTTTTAAGCCATTAATGAGCGTTGCAGTCATTTTCTAAAGGGGACCTTATATGGGGGGTAGGGTCAATCATGGACCGATCCTCATAAAATTTTTTAGATAAATTTTGACTCTTATGAAACTTACTTATGTCGAATTTCATCTATATACTAGTATTTTTAAGCCAGTAATGAGCGTTAAAGTCATTTTCTGAAGGGGACCTTATATGGGGGGTAGGGTCAATTATGGACCGATCCTCATAAAATTTTGCATAATGATTTTGGATCATAAGAAACTTACTTATGTCGGATTTTATCGCTATATTCGTACTTTTAAACAAGTTATGGCTGTTAAAGCTGCTTTTCGAGGGGCCACTTGTATGGGGGCTATGAGAAAATGTGGACCGATATTGCCCATTTTCAATACCAAACAAACCTTACCTGTAAGAAATATTTATGTGAAATTTCAACCCTCTAGCTCTTTCCATTGGGACTCTATTGTGCTTTCAACAGACAGACGGACGGACAGACGGACAGACATGGCTAGATCGACTTAGAATTTAATGAGGACCCAGAATATATATACTTTTGTGGGTCTTTGACCAATATTTCGATGTGTTACAAACGGAATGACAAAATCAATATACCCCCATCTATTTTGATGGTGGGTATAATAAAAGTCAATGCAACAAAATGTACATTTACTTTAAGACGGGCAATTGTCCTCCCGTACAGATGAATAATATTAAAATTCCTGAACAAAGCCGTGTTAGATATCTTGGTATCCACCTTGATCGCCGTTTAACATGGACTCACCACATTGAAGCCAAGGTTACACGAATAAAATTAAAGTCAGTTAATTGAACCATCGTACAAAGTGCTTTTGTACAAAACAGCTATAAAACCGATATGGATATACGGTATGCAACTATGGGCACAACAGGCCCGATAGAGGCCTAGGTGTATTTCTTCGGATTTGATGTATATACATCCTCCTTTTAAACTAACTAACTAACTAAATAAAGCTTTAGTCAAGGGGCAGAGACGGTCAATATTCGTAACTTCTGTAAAATTAAAGAATTGAATATTTGAGACATAAGTACGGGGACTAAAATATCAAAATGTGAAAATTGGTGGGTTATACGACGTTTTTATTGTAATTATTGATGACGATCTAGTATAACTCGATTTGGATAGGGGTACTTTACAAGATGATCTTGTGTTTATTCATTGTGAATACAAGAGTTGTTTAAATCTAAAAAGTTTCAAATATAATTTTCAGAGTCAAGACAATATGGATTAACGTTGTTCGATTTTGTTTAACAGATTTACATATATTATTAACAAAATAAACAATAACACACAATTTAGTTTGAGCTGAAGATTGCAGATTATATTTATCCTAAAAAACCTGCCCTTAGTGAATTTATCTCAGTTTTTTTTACAAATTCATGCTCCACAGTTTAAAGCGATTTGTTGGAAACGACACCTTACAATTAAAAGTAAATTTAAGTTTGCAACCAATGCACACTAGTGCAAACAGTAAATTCACTTGTTGATTGGTCTTCAAAGAACACAGAGCTACCAAATAATGGATTTCAATATGATGTGCTTCTGGTCGTGGTATATAATTAGTGTTGCCAAGGTAGTTTAGGTTATGTGGGGAGCTAGCGATCATTCTGATATACACAAAATTATTCTTTCCTAATTCGGAAGAATTCGGTACTTCTCTCAGTTTCGTTCGAGAACGATCCGTCAACTGGAAATTTTTGGCAATTTCTTCGTAATCTCCA